ATGAGGTGTAAGACAAGTATTTGGCGATGTGGGCGTCAGAGGCGGCGTACACGCGAAGAGGATCGTTAGATCGTGGGAGGGCGAGTGAGGTCGTAAAGGAGGGTTGAGGGGGTAAGAGTCCTCATCCGGAGGAAAGGGTCGGGGCTTTGCGTGGCCATCGCGGTATCAAGCGAGCACGTAGTACCGTACGGTAGCAGCACTTGAAGGTCGTCGTCGCATTTTGTGCGGAGTTGGTCCGCAGAGCCTCGGACCTGCGGGCCATTGTCGCGCCGGGGGTCCGTTTCCGCGGAAGGGTGAGATGCTCCGAGTCTCGCCCCGTGACAGTGACCGTGCTGCGGAGCTGCTCCAGCGTCGCATCCCGGGCATCTGGCCCAGACCAATAGTCCAGGCGGGCCTCAGAAATCGCTTGAGAAGTAGGCACCTGCTTTGACAGTTGCCAAGTATTGCTGTGAATGGCCGAGATCCGAGGATCGGTAGAAGCCAAGCTCGACTGCAGCGATCAGCCTCTTGCAAGTGTTCCAGCCCTGCGGCTCAGCAATGATGTGGTCGATGACTCGACTCAGGAAACCCAATCAATTTCGCCTGTTCCAGAGTCTTGACAGAGAATCGGTATAAGAACCAGTGAGAGGATATGCCAACTTCATTGCCAAGTTAATACTGTACAAACCCATTTTGAGGCTCCTGGTCGAGGCACTCCCGCCTCCCTGATCGAATAAACAACCACGTCTTCCTCCCCTCTATTGTGAACTGGTCCTCGCCGTGTACCTCATACTGTTAGTTCCTGTTGACTCTCGCCTGTTGTTCCTCACAGCCACCACGTTTTGCACGGTTTGCATATCGGATCCAACATGCATTTCTTCACTCCACTTGCTGTTTTTCTCTCGACTATCACAGCTGTGCATGCCGACAGTGATCAGGAAATCAAGTTCGCAACACCCGAGAAACAACAAGTACTCAATATCTCGGCACCCGTCCTCCTCGAATGGACTCTCCCTGAGTCTGGCACATATCGAGCTTTCGATCGCTGAACTTGACCCTCACCGCGGATGTTGCAAACGGAGGAGAGCCTGTGAGCTTGGTGAGCCTGATTGCCATCGACATCGATCTCTGGAGCCTGAGCTACGAATGGAACCCGAGCAACTTCACGAAGGACTTGGGCAAAATAAATGCCACTCTGTTATCTGGAAACCACAATCAAGTACTGGCTGAGATTGGGGGCAACCCGAACGACGAAAGCGTTGGCTTCGTGACACATGCTATCGAAGAGGTAGGCTTGGAGGGATACCATACCATGGCGCCTGCTGAGTCGGGGGCCAGTGTCGTGGGCCGGTCGATGTGGGCTTTTAGCACTGCCTGTGATCACGGCCGTGGCGCACGGCATGGTGTGAAACGGCATCGACTCGACGAAAGAGGTAGACATACGAGACATATAAAATGAACAAGATGCTCTCTCGTGACATGGTTTGCTTTGCTTGACGAACTTTGCCTGTGAAACCATGTCATTCGTGCTTTCAGGGATGACAAGCCGGACCTATGGACTGAAGTCGGCCGTAGTGTCACCTGTCCATGGCCGATCTGAAGATGCAGAGCGACCGGCCTCGGAGGAAGACATCGGCTCTGGGTGCTTGGTGCTGGCATGCCGTCAAGGTGCCCCTGACTGGTGTCACCTATGCCTCTTTATACGCTTTGAATTGACGACGACCAGCACCGTCCACTGCAGGCACCCGGTCCTGGGCAACACTGCTGGCGGGTGTTCGAGTTTCTGACGGGACCAGTGCCGCAAGCTCGCATCGTAAGGGAGGACAGAATTTCGGTGATTCGGCTAGATAGGATCAACAAAGCCTAGACAGCCTGCTCAAGTGCTGTGAAGTTTGGCCTTGCTCTGAACCGGACCGAATAGTTGCATCCACTAACAAAGCGACAGCTCGGTGATCTCCAAGATATCTACCTTGGGTAAGGTAGATAGGTGGGTAGGTAGGTAGGAAGGTAGCTTACCGCGGGGAACAAACATGGTTCGAGGCAGAAAACTCTCTCGGACACTTGCGTCCATTTCTGCTGCCTCGTGGTTTTGGTCGGTTCTCTGCACCTTCCTCGCGATGCCACTTTTGTCATTCGCTCGCTCCTGCCTCCTGCTGTTTCGCCTAGGCAGTCTCTGATTCACCTCAGATCGGGACGGGACGCGTGGTTCTGTTTGCCTTGACACCGTGAGCTACAAGTCTGTTCACCCCTTCTATACCTCCAATCCCTCCCCCCTCCCTTCTTTGTTCCATCGCCTGGGCCATCATCGTTCTCTTTACCTTGACACGGACTGTCGGTTTCGCGTGTTCTTTCAGGCCCACCCTGGACGTCACTTTTGATTTCTTACTTCTTTTCATTCCAACATTCATCCGCAAGTCTTTCGTTCAGAACTGAATCCCTCGTCCCGTTGTCAGGCCTTCCAACATGAAGCCCATCAGCCTGCTCACCTCTCTCGCTGGAGCTGGCCTGCTCACGGCCACACTGGTCCACGCCGAGATTGATCTCTCGAGTCCTTTCCAGGGCGTCTCCTTCCAACGCATCAAGGCAGTTCGTGATCGATCCTCTGACGAGACCTCGACTCACCGCCAGGTCCTAAAGCCCTTTCATGGCCGCATCACCGGACACAATGCCGCTTCCGCCATTGCTGCCGCTGAGCAGGGACAGCACGGCGCAGGCTACCAGAACATCACCGCCCTCTCGCCCTACGGGACGCAGTATGCCATGGAAGTCATCTGGGATGGCACGCCTATTCAGATGATCTTCGACACTGGAAGCAGCGATACCTGGGCGGCCCGGTCCGACTTTTCCTGCACCAATCGAGGAGGCACCATAGAATACCCTCAAGAGTCGTGCAGTTTCGGCAACCCGGCAATCGACAACTTCAAGTATGGCGAGATCCCCGATATACACTTCACCCTGGGCTACGGCTCCGGTGAGCGCGTCTCCGGCCCCATGGGCTACAGCGACCTGACCGTTGCTGGTATCACCGTCAAACAAACGCAGGTCGGCCTGGCCAACCAAACCTTTTGGTACGGTAACAACGTGACCCAGGGCATTCTTGGCATGGCGTACCCTGCCTTGACGAGTGCCTATTCGGGGAGCCTCAGCGAGAACCGCCAGGCATTCCAGATCCCTTATGCCCCTTTCTTCACCACCATGGTTCAGCAGGGACTCAGTGATGCCAGCTTCAGTGTCGCTCTTGCCCGCAACTCGTCCAACGGCCTCATCGCCTGGGGTGGTCGCACTGGCCTGCCCACGACGGGCCCGACCGCTTCTACTGACCTCATCGTTGTAAGTAGTAGACGTAGAAGACCAGTCAGGCTCTACAGCCGCAACCTACCCCAGACTAACGCCTCCACAGGCCAACATCAACCCGACCAGGAGCGAAACAGCCTGGAAATACTCGTATTATACCATCATTGTCGAAGGCGTCCAGTGGGGACAAACAGTCGACTCAACACATTGTGCCTACATCGTCGACACCGCGACGACACTGACGTATGTGCCGCCCCAAGTGGCCGAAGCCATTGCCAATGCTTTCGAGCCCGCCGCCATGTACATGTTCTCATACGGCGGCTACTTTGCACCATGCGATGCCATCGCGCCCAGGATTGCTTTCCATATTGGAGGCGAGAAATTCTTCATCAACCCTGTCGACATGATGTGGCGTCATCTGAAGGATCCCCTGACGGGATACTGCCA